TCTGAAATTAACAAGTGAAAGAAAGGGCCCAAGATAAGGAGAGGAGCTTGAAAATTTAAATTAAAAAAAATTAAAAATTTAAAGAGAAAGAGAGTGAGTGTGAGACAGACAGACAGACAGACAGCCAGAGACAGAGAGAAGACAGAGGTCGTCCTAACTTGCCTGAATATTTTGGGAATCTAAGAGATGGGTTCAGAGCATGGCTTCCCTGAATTCGCCAGGACACACCTCAGCTTTTAAAAAAAAAAATCGAATATTCTAAATTCTTTATCAGACATTTCCATAAGTTCCATTGTACCCTGTGTGGACAAAGAGGAGTCAGAAGTTTCTTGGTTCCTCATATTTTTTGTGCCTCTGTGGTGATTTCTAGTCATATGATGGGTTATTCATTTTTCTTAATTTCTAGAAGTTCAATCTGAGCATTCAGAGGTGCACAGGAGGAGGTGGTCTGCAAAATTTTTGCTGTTCCATTTTTCTCCCTTTGTGTCGCAGATTCAGTGGGAATCAAGAAATATGTTGACTCTAATAGTATTCATATGCTTGACTACTTTTCACTTAGACCTGTTTAGACACTCAATGTATGGAGGCAGGGTGACTTCTCAACAGAACATCTTCATTGCTCTTATCCCTGAAAACACTAGATCTCAGTTCTCATGGTGAACTCAGTCTTCTGGTTCTGAATTATTCTACTAAAGAGAATTTTGTGGGCCCAGGACTTCTTATCTTCTCAGTTTGTGTTACACTGAAGCTAAGTCACTAGCGGAAATGGACTAGAAGCAGCAACAGAACACTGCAAGTCAATTCAGAGTGCGAACAGAGAATGAGCGAGCCATGAGGAGAGTCAGGACATTTTGTTCTATTGGAGTATTATCTTCATACTAGATCTGACTTTGGATGCTCACATCAGCACTAAGATGTGATGAATCATTGACTACCTGGATCCAATCAACCCCCATGGTATTTTGCTGTAATTAGCATGAATGTCAAAGGCATGGTATCTTAATGGGTGATTTTATTAGCAGGAAGGAGGGAGAGAAGCCAAGACCGTCTTTCCGGGGAGACCTCTCTGCTCATTAGTGTCCCAGCAGCAGGCGACCAGATGAACTGGAAGGAGCGGATGTTCACACCAGTCGATTCTGCAGTTTGTTAGCAGCTTGAGTAAAAAGAAAAAAAAAATCCTCTGGGAGGAAATGTTGAAGTCAGATGTTGCTCTTCCTGCTGGATTTCTGTAATCCTTTGTCTCCTTCATACTCATCATGGAAAATTCTAAGTTCTTTGAGGAGAACTTTATTCCCTTCTGCCCTACCCTTAATTTATCCATTCTTCTTTGTCCTAACTAAGTAGTTTATGAAATCTAGACCACTAGAACTATAGCAATTGGGAATCCAATGGACATAAAATATAGCAGTGTGGGTCCTTCACCCAGCCTCACACAAACCACGTTTTAGGAATAAAGGTGTGGGATAAAGAAACAGACTTAAAATTAAAATAAAATAAAGCTAAATTCCAAGCCACAGATCAAATGTAGATCTACCTTTGTTTCTAACATGAACAAGCTGAGAATAAATCATTAACTATGAGGACCCTTATGATTCTCCTTGAGAGAATTCAAAAGCAAGATCAAGTCCCCTGAATGTCCAAACACTGTCTAGAACATCCTAGAGTGGTCTACTTTTGATTAAGTCCTACCTGAGTGTGGTTAGATAACTATAATGTAATGATCAAAGTCACAAATGGCTCATTTTATACTGTCAATAGCATTTTGGAGGGATTTAGGAAAACATATATCATAGCAAAAATGCAAGATGTAGACTTCCTGGGTCAGATAAGGACTTTAGAGCATGTAGCTTTTAGATAATACCTTAGGCCTTTGGAGCATCAATTTGCCTTTACGTTAACAGTAACAATACTAGGCCTTGAAAAGGTTATCCACAATCTTGGTAGACACTTCCTCTTAGGTCAGTGTTTTAAAGAAACCACACCATTTTAAGCATATGCAACAGATGATCACCAGTACTTATTGAAGGTAAAATGGATTTTTTTCCTTCTATAGAGCACTAATAAATTCAACCTTCAGCTATACCTCCCAACTCATAAGATGTTTTATAGAAAATTAATAAATCCCTCACCTTCCATCTTTCTCTCCTCCTACCCTGTTCTCCCTCTAATACACAGGATTAAGGAACCCTCCCTCTTATTTCACAATTATAAACTTATTATTTCTGATTAAAACCAAAAAAATCAAATTGAAGATGTGAATATGCAATATGTTTTTGATGTGAAAATATTTTTACAATGGATTAGAGGGAGGATGATACTTTCTAAGGAAAAAACTCCTATATTTATAATCTATTTGTTTCAATCATGAAGTATAATTGCTTGCTCAAATTTCCCCAAATTTTTACTTTTACCTAGATTCTCACATCTGCTGATACTCTTTAGAGAACTGAGGTGTTGTTCTCCAGGCGTGATAATATATTTTACCCCAAACATTTGAAAATGTACCTAGTGACAGGAATAGCAGGACAGCATTACAAAGTCACCCCTGTTGCTGCTCTCTCTTGTGGCGTGGATCATTTAACCGATGTAATGACTTAACCAACTGTACTTTTCTCTAGAACTTTAGACCAGGAATAGAAGGACAGCATTACAAAGTCACCCCTGCTGCTGCTCTTGTGGCGTGGATCATTTAACCGATGTAATGACTTAACCAACTGTACTTTTCTCTAGAACTTTAGACAAAACAAAAGTAAAAACAAACCAAAAAAAAAGTTCCTTAGCTGGTTCAGTCAAGAAAGTCCGAAAAGAAGAATAAACGCTCACTGTAATGGGAAAATGCAAAGTGCACCATATGCATGAATGCCATACTGAACCTGATGCTTTCTCGGGGTAACCTTTTGGGGTGCTAAACACCTCAGAATGCCATCAAAGCAATACCAAAGTCTAAAAGCTAGTTAGCTCCGCAGAGATTCAACAGACAAGAAAATTAGATTCCAAAGGGTGGAGCATAAATCCACAGGTATGGAAAACTATAAAAATGAGTCACCTCTTCAGTCTAAATCCATCCAATTCCTTAAAGCAGAAATTTGGGTTCTCCTTGCACAGTAACAGGGCATTAACTGATAAGTTTTCTTTTAAGAAGTCCTGCAGTCCTTAAGACCAGCAGTTGGCATAATAGCTATGTTGCTGGACTCCCATGTAGTCAACCGTGGTTTGAGTCCCAGACCCGGAGGCTTAAACTCACTCTAGATGCGTGTGCTTGCATGTCCAAGATCCCAAGAGGAGAATGGAGGAGAAGGAACTGTGATGTGGCCATCCTCCCTGGGGGATGATTTCTCACTTTCTGTCTCTCTGCCTCTCTGTCTTTCTGGTGAGTGCATGCGCCATATAGCAAAAAATCTCTCCCCAAAAAAAAGTAAAAAAAAAAAGTCCTGCAGTCCACGCCAATGATCTATATGAGTGCTACCCAAGTTCAGGAGATGTGTAAAAGTCACCAAATGGAAACAGAAGTAGATATGTCCATTCCTCCTGGAGAATACCACAGGACAAATTATTCCATGGACCTAGATTCAACTTTTCTCTAGAAATTCTCTGTTCTACCTTCAATTCAAAACTCTGTATAACAAGTTTATTACTTGGAATTATCTTTTTTTTTCCATTACTATTTTTCTTCTAACTCTTCTCTCTCTTTTCTCTTTCTTTCCGTTACTATTTTTCTTCTAACTCTTCTCTCGCTTTTCTCATTTTCAAATAGAATAAGATCACTATCATTCATAGTAAACTGAGTACCTATCTGCATATGTCAACTCAGAGTCTGGGGATGAAACTGGAGATATTTGGGAATGTGTTTAGTGGAGACACATCTATGTAGCTCTAGACCTGCTGAAACTATGGAATACCTCTGGGTGAGCAAAAGAAAAAGCACATCACTAGAAAGAAAAAGGGCAGAAACCCTGATACACTATGGAGAACAGAAACCTCCAGGGTCAAGGATCTGCTTAAAGGGGTAAAGGAGGTGAAGTAAAACCTGTGATGATTTTCCACTATTCATTGTCATCCCTAAAGTCACAAATTCATCTGTACACACTGGGAGCTCTGATGACAGAAAAGAATTAATCCATGTCCTCACACACTATTCTCATATCCAAAGCCCTTTCCAGAGTCTGCTGAGTGCCATTCTTCTTACTCGACCTCTAGAACGGCCCCCAGATGTGAGGCTCCCAAGCTCAGGGATCCTTCTCCCATCTTCCCTTTGCCTGACCCTCGTGTGTGCTGTCCAAAGAATGACATTCTAGCCAACTGTGCAAGCCTTCGAGAGCTAAATAGGTTATTTCAAAACATAGTTTGTTTCTTTACTCATGTGTCTATTAAACATATAGAAATGTTCCCAAGGAGCAAACATCACAGACCACGTGTCTCAATCTTTATTTCATTCTGACTGCTATGAAGAGCCTCTTCAGACAGTTTTTTTCTAATTGCACCCAACATTACATGTTAATACCTTAGATATATTATATATTTACTTGTCCAGTGTATGTCTATGTTTTATACATAAAAAGAGTTTTGTACATAAAATTTTTTCCACCCAATGAAAACCAATTTTAGTCCTCTGGGGAGAGATATAATCCCTATGAGAATGCATGATCTTGAAGCATGCAAAAATATTTTGCCAGAAGTGTTTAATTACTGCTTCTCTAATACTTAGCAGAATGTAAATCACCAAAAACATAATTTTTCCTTAGATCAGTTGTCTATACTGAAAAGATTAGAGCAGGATAGGTCTTTATCTGCTGAGATTCTAAAACATAACTCTCTTCTCTTGGGTCAAGTTCCCCTTCCCTCATCTTCCCCAAGATAGCTGGCAGAATTAGAAAGTGTTATTCTCAAGTTCCTTCTAACCCTGTCTGTTTCTTCTTCATCCTTGACTCATTCTAGTTAAACGCTAAAACACAAACATGGTTAAACCATCTCACACTATAGAACCAGATAACCAGTCTCACCTCTTGTCGTTTGAAATTCTGGACATATTCTTCAAACTGTTCATCTTTTGTTTCATCAGCTTTCCCCAGCTTCTGAAGGACCTAGTTTCAAATAAAACAAAATAGTTTGGTTAATGATTTTTTTTTCAAAGTAAGATGTTCCTTTTCAGTTAGTAAGCAGAGCAAGGCAGCTGTTTCTCTCTTCTTGGGCAGCTGCTTATTTTTCTGTTCTGGAAGCATCTTGACTGGGTGACTTTGGCCTCTACCAGATCTGGATTTGAATTACAGTCTCACCATGCACACAGGCCATGTGACCCTGAGCAAGGGCTAGGCTACACTGCATGTACTTCTTTAGATGTGTGTTTCCTGGGAGAGGCTGGATATAACTTAAAGACAAGAAATCTTCATCTTTTGTCCAAAGAACTTGGCATGATGATTAATACACAATAGTTATACAATTGTTTATGAACCAAACAACTGTCAGTGAACCAAAGTCATCTGACTAAAGTATTAGCCTACTTCATAGGGACAGTGTTAGAGTTATAGAGCTAGGTCCATGGCAAGTTCTCCTTTACCATCTTCTGATACTACCTCAATTCAATAAAAGATCAAAGAGGCCCCATGCTAAACTCTGGTCAACCAGAAACATGAAGACAATTAAAGACAAAGAAGGAGCAAAAGGAAGACCCTGCAATCCCAGGCATAGAAGGACCAACAGGGAGACCCAAGCCAAGCTGCTGGGCTTGAGCTCATTAGCAGGGACCCCACCCATTCTGCTGTTGGGAAGGAGGGGCTCGCCAGACTTCAGAACCAATATCTGGTTTCTGCAACCCCAAAGAAAGAAGGAGCAACAGGAAGACCCAGCAATCCCAAAGATATAAGGTAGGAGCTGCTGCCTCATGTGTGCTGACACTGTTCTGCCCCTCACCAATCCAGGACCAATGGGGAGATCCACGTCAAGCCACTCGGCTAGAGGTCATCAGCAGGCATCCTTCCCAGCCTTCTATGAGGGAGGAGGAGCTCTCTGGCCTTCAAGAACCAATACGGCTTTAAATTATACTTGTCAGCTCAACCGTTGTCCATATTAAAAGCAGTTAAGTTTGAATATACAAGAACCAAACACCTGAAAATAGGGAACTCTGGATGAATTCTTTCCTCATTACTCCCTTAGCAATAAAAGATGAGAAAATCCCCTCTGAACACCTGAACCCAAAAATCCTGCTGTGGGTTCCATACTCCCAAGCACAGTAGAGGAAGGAAATTGGTCCAGAGCTTATGCATATTCATAGAAAAGTGCAGGAGCACACAGCAACAGAAGACGAAAGAAGTAAGAAGACCACCAGATGACTAAACATCAAAGCAGAGTCACAAGAAATAGGAGAAAATCGGGAAATACCTCCTCCCTCAAAGGATCATAACTCTTCACCAATGGATAAAACACAAGAGATTACAGAAACATCAGAAAAAGAATTCAGAATATTCATTGTAACAGTGTTCAAGATTCAACAGAAAACAGAGAACCAATTCCAGGAGGTGAGAAAATTCTTCCAGTAGTTGATGTAAGAACTCCATAGAGAGGCACACTGAAAAAAAAAATCGAACAGAATTTCTGGAGATAAAGGATATGATTCAGAAAATCAAAACCTCCTTCAAAAGTATCTATAGCTTGGGGCTGGCAGGCAGTGCAGTAGTTAAGCATGCTGGACTCCCACATGGCCAACCATGGTTCGAGTCCCAGACCTGGCAACCTCTTTATCATTTTCTCTCTCTCACTCTTCTTTCTCTCTGGTCAAATTAAAATAAATAAATAAATAGGTAATTAAATTAATTATTTTTTTAAAAAAGTATCTGTGGTAGATTAGACTATGCAGAGGAAAAAATCTTTGATCTTGAAGGCAAAACCTCCAATTTAGTCCAAGCAACTGAAAAGAATTGAAGAATAAAAATGAGGATACTATACAGGAATTCCTAGACACCATTAAACAGCTGAATAGCCACATAATAAGTATTCCAGAAGGTAAAGAGGCAAGCAAAGGCATAGAAAACATCTTTAATAATATATTAGCTGAAAACATTCCAAATTTAGAGAATCATGCAGACATTCCACTCCAGGAGATGCAAAGGACACCTAATAGGGGACCAGCAGTTAGCGTAATGGCTATGTCGATGGACTCCCAAGTAGTCGACCGCGGTTCGCATCCCGGACCCGGTGGCTTAAACTCACGCTGGGCGCATGTGCGTGCGTGCCCAAGATCCCAAGAGGAGAATGGAAGAGAAGGGATTGCAGCGTGGCCATCCCCCCTGGGGGGTGATTTCTCACTTTCTATCTCTCTGTCTCTCTCTGTCTGTCTGGAGAGCGCATGTGCCCTATAGCAAAGGACACCTAATAGACAATAACATAAGAATATTCTCTCCAAGGCATAGCCTAGTCAAATTGGTAAAAATCAAAAACAAAGAGAAAATTATAAAAATGGCAAGACAGAAACACCAAGTTACTCACAAAGGTATTTCCATTAGACTAACATCTGATCTCTCAGCTGAAACAACACAGGCAAGGAAAGAATGAGAAGACATGATTTAAAACTCTGAAAAAGAAGCAATTTCAGCCATGAGTAATATACCCAGCAAGAATATCCTTCAAATGGAAAGCTTTCAGTTTATGTATTTATTATAATCATTACTTATTGTATAAAACTAGGTAGTAGAGAAAAAGTCCAAAATGTTACAGCTGAGTCTTTCTTTGGAATGAATTTTAAAAAGGGTTAAAAACAAGAACTTCGTAAAGCCTATAAATCATCAAATCACTGGCTTTATCATGTCTTCACTTTTCAATACCTCTTTCCAATTTTATTTTTTCTTTACTTTTTTGAAGACTTATTTCTTTAGGCATAGTGCAGTACTATGTTTGTATAAAAACTCACAATGTGTGAATTAAAGTTTTCTTTTTCAATCACTTCCTAATGAGCTATTGTTACATATGATTTTAGCTATCTATCACTGGACCAATGATTTATACCCACAGATTTTTTTTTCAGATTATAAACTCTTATCTCCCCTAATCCTCTACATAGAAATTACAAATTATTCTTTCATTGGCTACATTAAGATTATTTTTGTTAATTTATGAGATCATTTGTTGCCTGATTTTTAATCAATATGTTTATCTTTAGATTTGTATCTCCAAGTGAAAAACATCATAGGCAATTCAGTACATACTTGCAGAATAACACTGGAGCAGATTTCACATTTTCACAACATAGTACGATGTAAAATGTTGAAAGTGGAGAATATATTTATATCCTTGATTTGTTTATTAATCTTTAGATTTGTATCTCCAAGTGAAAAACATCATAGGCAATTCAGTACATACTTGCAGAATAACACTGGAGCAGATTTCACATTTTCACAACATAGTACGATGTAAAATGTTGAAAGTGGAGAATATATTTATATCCTTGATTTGTTTATTACACACCATATACATGCTTTTAAAGACCATTCTAGAACCTGAGATTTGTAATGACTTTATGTAAATCATGAATTACAATAATATTTAAAGAGAAGAAGGGGGAAAAAAAATACCAAACCTCTACTACCCAATAAGAAAAGAAAAATGGTCTTGAGGCCAGCAGGTGGCATGGTGATTAAGGTTCTGGACTCCCAGATGGCTAACTTATTTGAGTCCCAGACCCGGTGGCTTGCTTCTCTCTCTGCCTCTCCCACAGCCCCCACCTCCCTCTGGTCAAATTAAAAAAATAATAACAACAAATAAATTACATAAATAATTCTTTTAAAAAAAGAAAAATGGTCTTGCCTACAAGTTCTACTATAGCTTAATTCTCTTTAAAGTAAGATGGCCCCTTACCATTTAGTTATAGTTGTTTATAATTATTTTTACCCACTGTATTATCAATTATCATTTTTTAAAATATTTACCTTGCTTATCTTAAATATTGGTAATATTTCAGTTCTCATAGTTCTGGATTACCACTTTTCTTTTTTTTTTTTTTCTTTTGAGAAGATTTTTTTTTTTTTTTTTTTTTTTTATATACGACATGCGCTTGCCAGACAGAGAGAGACAGAAAGCGAGAAATCACCCCCCCGGGGGATGGCCATACCGCAATCCCTTCTCCTCCATTCTCCTCTCGGGATCTTGGGCATGCAGGCACACACGCCTGGAGTCAGTTTTAAGCCACCGGGTCCGGGACGCGAACCATGGCCGATTATGTGGGAGTCCAGCAACATAGCCATTACGCTAACTGCTGGTCCCTCATACTTTTATGTAATATGTGTGTGCTTATTCTTTAAAAAGACAAATAAAACAATGTTCTAACACTTAACCTTATGAAATTTATAATCTAGTAGAACAAACAAGACAGGCCTACAAATAACAAGACAAAGAGTACGTGTTAGAAGAATTGAGGGGGAGTTGGAAAGTGTTATTACCAGTATCCCTTAGTGCTGAACTCTCCAGGGACTCCCCTGCAGAGTACTTAAATTGTGCGGTTAAAATGCCAACAGACAGGAATGTAGCAGAGGCCATTCCAGTCAAAGACGTAGTCCAAGCAAAGATCATTTAAAAAACTATTATGTAATGTGGGACCGGAAGCTTTATTTTCCTAGAGCAGAACCACCAGGAGAAGCAGTTCTCCGAGACCAGAAGAAAGTCATTTTGATACACAGCAGAAAGGTCCTGAGAGCCATGATCTGATTCGCTATTCAATATTACTCTTTTGCTTCCAAAACACCAACTAAATCAAGAATGTGAAAATTCCACAAACTTTGCCATCTAGAAATACACACATCCCAAGAAATGATCAGACCTCTTTGTATGAAACTTTAACATTTGGGTATTAAAGCTATAATCATACAAGGGCGAGCAGGAAGTTAAGGTGTTGGACTCCAACATGGTCTACCATGGTTTGAGTCCCAGAGCCAGCAGTTTGAAACTCATGTTGGGTATATATGCAAGCATGCCTAAAATTTCAAGAGGAGGATGGAGGAGAAGGGATTGTGGGATGGCCATCTCCCTTGGGGGGTGATTTCTCACTTTCTGTCTCTGTGCTTCTGTCTGTTTCTCTGGTGAGCACACATGCCCAATA